TGCGGCCCAGCTTCATTCTTTTGCATGCGGCAGCCCATTGTCCCAGCCCATTTGTTGAGAAGACTGTTTTTCCCTATGGGACAGTCTTTCTCAGAAGGACTCAGCATGGTCTCTCCACTCCGTTGTTGGTCTGTGCATTGGTCCTGATACCCACTCCACACCATCTTGATCACCATGGCTTTGTAGTAAGTTTTGAGATCAGGAGACACATCTTCCTCCCATGTTCCCCCCTTTCAAGCCTGCAGTGTCTGTTCTGAGCCCCTGCAGTTCCGTGTGAGTTTCAGAATCAGCTTGTCAGTTCTTCACGGAGGCCCGCTGGGTCCTGGGATTGTACCAAATGTGCAGATTGGCCCTGGGTGTCTCTGGTCCCGACAGTGCCAAGTCTTCTGTTCTGAGACATGGGACATTTCCTGGTCACCTAGATCCCGCCTAGTTTCTTGCCATGCTGCTTTGCTGCCCGTGTGTTTGAATGGCTCCTCATGGTGGGGCGGGCACAGGAGTGGTACTATTTGTATAGGACATATGGCTGTCTTCCTGTCCCAACACTTGGCTGTCCTGGAGATGGGCCTCAGTGCAGGGTTGTCATTACCCTTGCACTTTTAGCACCTGCCAAAATATGTGGCGCATGGGATCCCAGGCATGGAACGGTGTGCTGGACTCCCTGCGCTACCCCAGGCTGTGGTCACAGCAGCAGCCTGGAAGTTTGGCTGTTACCCTAGCTGTCTTGGGGCACAGTCCCTTCTCAGCTAGAGCAGAGGTCCCAGGCCCCAGGGGCTTAGGCATGGCCTCCATTCCCTTCACATGTTGAGTGTGGCCCAGGAGACCCCTCCCTGGGATGCCAGCTGCTCCCGCCCTGAATGGCGGCTCCACCACTGTGTTCACAGCTGTGCTGGGGGCATCCAGGCTTGGAAATCGTATCAGATGGACAGACAGGTGTGTGGGTTTAGACAGAGGGAAGAAGGAAAGGATGGTAGGAACAAACCCACAGAGGTCAAGAGCCCAGGCCAGAATCACAGTGGGGCATGAGAAGGTGGGTAGTACCCAGTCTGCCCCTCCCGTGCCACCTCTAGGGGCTCTGCCTTCTCTGGGCATTAGACAGGGAAAGTCCCCTGAGTTTACAGAAAGGTGAGTAGCTGCCCACAATGTTGCTGTCTGCACAGGGCCCTAGAGCCCATCCTCCTCCATCCTTGGGCCTCCCGGGAGGTGGGTTGTGACCGCCGCCGCTGCAGAGCCCAGGCTTGTTCTCAGCCCTGGTCAGCGGTGCCATCGGCAGGTCACTCCAGCCCTGGCAGCAGATGCCCAGTGAATGCTCTCCATGATCCAGGACCTCCTGCTCCAGGTGGAAGTTGGGCCATGGGAACCTGCTGCGACCCTGTCGGTCTCACACTGTGAGGGGCTGAGGACAGGGCTGGGGGTTGGTTGCAGCATGGACACGATGACTTTGCACACACCAAGCCTTAGTCCCCAGTGGGGCCAGCAGTGCAGTGAGTGGCACCGTTGGGGGCTGGGTGGTGACAAGATTGGTGTTTAAGAACTTATTGGTTTTATCTTCTTTCTATTTTGGTTTTATTTCCTTAATCTCTACTGGCTCCTGATTTGGGTCCTTAAATCCTCCAATATGCATAATTGTTTCCTGGACCTCAAGCTCCCCATCAAGGGGGAAACCTAATCCCAGGATGATGGGCCGATCACAGGCACCCTGCGGGGAGGGTGAGGTGGGAGGGGGTGGGTTGCATCTCTGGCTCTGTTCCTGACCATGGAACATTGGGTGTTACTAGGACATCTTGTATCCCAGGGAACTTGACCTCCTCGGGCACTGCTGCGTCCAAGGCCAGCACTAGGCATGCCACCGCTGAGCTCCCACCCCTCCTGCAAGGCCCCCTGCCTGCTAAGTGGGAGGTTGCTAGGGCCAGGTGAGGCCTTGCTGGGGGGCCTCCAGGACGGCACTGCCTCCTCCCGCCCAGGGGTACCTTCAGGAGACCGGTGGTGTTGTTGAAGCCTGGGGAGAAAGGGGGGTGGTGAGGCCGAGGGGAGGAGGATCTCACTGCTCTGGGCCAGAGCAGGGACAAGTACGTGCCATGTGACCTCATCCTTGCTGGGGGTCAGCAGACTCCAGCCTGCCTGCTGTGCAGCCCCTAAACTAAGAAGCCTTGTACATTTTTAAAGAAGAAGATTTTGGGACACATGCAAGTTACCTGAAATTCAGATTCGTGTTTCTGTACCCTCAGCTCCGTCGGCCGGGCCCGTGCTGGCCTCGCGTGTCGGGGAGCTGCTTTCTTGGTGCGGTTGCTGTGCTACATGGTTAGGACGGGGGCAGGGTGACCGCACAGCCCGTGACTGGCTGGTCTCCGCAGAAGGCAGCCCTCACCCTCTCCCCACACCCTCCTTGGCTCCTCAAGGCTCCATGGGGTGGTGGAGAGGTAGATGCCATCCAGCCCACAGAGGCCCAGGAAAGCCCCTGCTGCCCATGAGAGGGGCCTCCTGAGTGTGTGTGGGTGGCTGGATTCTGCACACTGGGTTATCTTACCCCAGCTGTAAAACTGGATAAAGTAGCAATCCTTCACCCCAAGAGTCTATGATTCAGCCAGTGTTACAGGATGTCTCTTCATCCTCAGTTTTACAAGGTTCTCAGAAAACTTGTGAAGAGCCGCTTGGATTTTCTCCCACCCCGGTCCAGTCCTCTCCCATTGGGCGTGAGTGGGTAGATTTCCCTCCCCTTCTCCTTCCTAGCAGCACAGAGGAAGCGGCCAGGTGAGCCATATCTGCAAGCCCCACTTCCCTCTGCAGGGACCTCTGCCATCACGCCGGGTTGCAGGGGGGTCCCTGGTCCAGGTCAGCGTGTCCGTCTCCCCTGGTCTCTTCCATGAGGGGATGGCAGGGCCAGCTGCTAGCTTGTGTGATATGACATCAGGCAACTGTTTTAGAGTCCAGGGTGGCACCAGGAGGAGTGAGGTCTCTCATTCTTCCCCATTCCCTCCTCCCTCCCTATAGGAGGCATATCCGGGGCTCTGGGACAGTGATCGCCCATAGCTGACGGGCTCTGGTCCCAGTGAGGTGCCCTGCAATGGGCACAGCCCAGGCCAGGCCTAGCCGTCCTTCGGGAACTTGGACAGCAGTGGCTCGTAGCAGCCTGAGCTCCTGGGAGGCTAGGGGCTTACTGCGCTAAGCTTCTTCACCTCATGGGGTACATCCACACCAGCCTTTCTCCTGAAAGCATGGGATTACCCGAACACAGGATGTGTTTCCCTGTTCTTTAGGAGACAGGACAGTATGTGGGCAGAAGGCCCGAGGGTAGCAGGAACTCACTGCCAAGGGGTGAGTTCCCCTTGGGAATGTGCAGGGCTGGCCTGGCTTGCTGGCTGGCTGTGCACTCCACTCACAAGGGGCTGGTGGCGTCTGGGCTGGAGGGACAGCGTGCCCACCGAGTCTCTCACTGCCCCGCAGTGCACAGCCATAAGCTGCAGGGTCTCAATGCTTGGCAGGAGCCCTGGCCTGTGCATGTGCACCTTCTCATGGGTTTATTAGCTTTTTGGGTGTCTTTTTTTGTAAAGTGTCTTCACGTTTTTTACTCATTTTTAGATTGAGTTGTCTGATGTGGTCTTGTGTATTTTTTGAGTTCTTCGTATGTTGTGGATCTGAACCCTTTGTCACATGTGTGATTTTCCAATATCACCTCCTGCTCGGTGGATACTTGTCCATTGTTCCGGTGGATGGAAGTACTGTACTTAATTTGCATAAGATCAGTTGTACTTTTTTTTTTATTATTATTTTATTTTACGGCTAGCACTTTCTGAACCCTGTTTGAGAAATCTTTGTGTACTCCCAGGTGACAGAAAGTGGTGGAACTGATGTTTGTGTGTGGAGTGAGATTGAGGACAGAGCAGTGTGTAGTGACCCTGTAGCTCCCTGTCCATGCATCTCCCTGTCCCTGCACCTTCCTGCCCCTGCACCTGCCTGCTCCAGGCGGCTGTCCCCTGCTGCATGGCTGTGTGGTGCTCCAGGTGTACTTCTCTCTCAAGGATGCCACGCACATCCTGGCCCTGGGATTTTGTGGGAATGTCAGGTCGATAGGCACATTCCTGAGCCAACCACACCAGTGCCGGGCTCCCTCACTCTCCATCTGTGTGTGGTTGACCTTGTTTCTCTTGTGGCACGGGACATGTTCCAGGCTGGCAGGGAAGTGATGGGAACGTGGCCACATAGGCTCCCAGCCTCGTAACAGCCGGGAACCTCAGAGGAGAGGAAGCCTCCCTCCCAGGCACTGTGTGGAGCTGCAGAAAGCGCTGGGCTTGGCTAAGCTAGGGCCTCGTGTCCCCTCTCGCTCTGTTCCTGTGGTTAGGCAGGAGGGACCTAGCAGGCGGCCAGGCCTTGGTCCTGCACCTGTCCATGGAACACAGGGAAGGAGCCACTCCTTCAAGAAGATATGGCTGCTAGGCAGGCTCAAGAAGACAAAAGAACAGAACACTGTGCTATGCATGACCCGTGTTGTGTGTGTGTCTGGGCCGTGGTGACCTATGCTGTGTGTGACCCATGCTGCATGTGTGCCTAAGCCATGGTGACCCATGCTGTGTGTGACCCATGCTGTGTGTGTGTCTGGGCCGTGGTGACCCATGCTGTGTGTGACCCATGCTGCGTGTGTGCCTGGGCCATGGTGACCCATGCTGTGTGTGACCCATGTTGCGTGTGTGCCTGGGCCATGGGGACCCATGCTGTGTGTGACCCATGCTGCGTGTGTGCCCCATGCTGCGTGTGTGCCTGGGCCATGGTGACCCGTGCTGTGTGTGACCCATGCTGCGTGTGTGCCTGGGCCATGGTGACCCATGCTGTGTGTGACCCATGCTGCGTGTGTGCCTGGGCCATGGGGACCCATGCTGTGCGTGACCCGTGCTGCGTGTGTGCCTGGACCATGGTGACCTGTGCCGTGTGTGACCCGTGCTGCTTGTGACCATGCTGCTTGTGTGCCTGGGCCACAGTGACCCGTGCTATGTGTGTTCCTGTAGGGTGACTATGACCAGAGCAAGACCAAAGTGCTGCACATGAGCCTGAACCCTGCCAGTGTGGCCAGGCAGCGCCTGCGTGAAGACCACAACCAGCTGCAGGCGGAGTGCGAGCGGCTGCGAGGGCTGCTGCGCACCATGGAGAGAGGCGGCACCGTCCCAGCTGACCTTGAGGCCGCCGCAGCAAGTCTGCCATCGTCCAAGGAGGTGGCAGGTAGGCCCTGGCCTTGTCCTTGACCTCCCTTGGGTAGGACCATCCATGTGCCCTGTTAGGGCAGCCTCTAGCTGTCACCTGCCTGTTGTCCCCAGAAGGTCTGTCCTCCCGCTGTGGGCAGCCGGGCCAGGTGGTCACTGGGGCAGAGTTGGCCCCGTGTTCCTGAGGGACTGTGCAAACAGGTGGAGTCGTCCCAGTCTGCAGGCAGCAGTGGAGAAGCAAGGGGCTGAAATCTCAAGCCCCTAGAACAGACTTGTATCATTTATCAGTTTATACACATTCCATTAATCTCAAGTAAATCCAATCCTCCACAAAAGCAGAGCCTATCTTTCACCAGCCTAAGTGCACTTCACGGAGTCTGGAGAGCCCTTCACAGCAAAGGCCTGCGGAAGAGTGAGGCCCCCATGAGGGCCAGTGGTCCTGCCTGTACCCTCCAGGTCTAAGTAAGGGCTGTGGCCTTTGGAGTGCTGGCCTGTCCCCTGATGTGGTGAGGTGGTGCTGGGGTCTGCTCACGCCGAGCCTTGAGGGGTGCTACCGGGGCTGTATCCACTCCGCATGCGCCCCCACAGAGGAGCAAGGCCCGGAGCCCAGAGGAGCGGGGCCAGGAGCCCAGAGTCACTGTGCAGTCTGCACCCCCAGGAAGACTGAGGGGCTCAGGAGACCCCTTCCAACTGCACTGTTCTCTGCTGTTGGACAAAGCTGGCCATTGCCCCATGCTAGTAGGCTCTTGGAGAGACCTGCGGGAGGGCTCCCTGTCCAGCCCTTAGCAGCAGCCTGGAGCACGGCTCAGCGTCCCTTCGCTCCTGTCTGAGATGCCTGCCCATCAGCTTCTCCCTTGGGGGTGTCTGCAGGATCATCTGTGTCTGAGATGCCCACCCAAATGCCCTTCCGTTTGGGGTGTCTGCAGGGTCGTCTGTGGTGGGGCCTGGAGGCCACTGCTTTCTGTCCTTTAGCATCTCGTGTTTGTTTCAGACTCACCTTTTATCTGATGATGCCCCCTCCTGTTTCTTCCCGCATACTTGATATCGTGCCCTGGACCCCGGCAGAGTGTTCCTGGGAGCATGCAGGGCAGAGGTTATGTGGCAGTCACTTGTCTCCTTCCTGCAGCTACAGCACCCAGGGTGATATATCAGGCATGACTGTCCTCTGCACCACTCTTTTGTGGGGAGTGTCTTAGGTGGGGTCTTCCCTCCCTCCTGTGTGCGCCCCATAAGCTAGGCATGCTCTGAGTGGTGGTCCACTCTCCTCCCCAGTAGCATGGTGGAGGTGGAGGACAAAAGCCAGAAGAGGAGGCCTGTGTTGCCAGATCGACGAGTGAGCTGATGGCAGTCGGGGGCTCCTTTCCAGCTGCCCACCTGCATAAGGGCAGCTCCCAGCCTCCACTGTGGCTGTGAGGGCCTGAGCCCCCATGTCCCCAACCCCCCTTCTGGTTCAGCCCTGGCTCCCTCGGCTGCCCTGCATTCTGCAGGTGTTTTTGGCAGGTTTCAGAACTGAGCATTTAGAACTGGAGCTGTGTTTGTTTTTCGGTGGCTCTGCACTCCGGGAGAGGGTTTGGGAATGGGTCTTCCATCCCCTGCTGTCATGGACCCTTGCCTTGCTTGTGCGCCCATTTGCTCGTCCGTTCATTTACCTGTTGTCTGGGTCTCTGCACAGTCTCAGGCACATGGGTGGTTGGCATCTGGCTGTGACAGGCGTCTGGGCTTCTGCTGATATGGGAGCAGGGGATGTGGAAAGGCATGTCAGAGCTGACCATGGAGAAGTCAGGGCCAGGGTGGCCTGGAAGCCAGGACGGGGCAGGTGAGCAGAGGCCTGGGATAGACAGGGCCCACGCCACATCCTGCCCTCCAGAAGGTGAGGGTAGGTCAGGCATCCAGGCCCCAGTGGCTGATGCAACTCATGTCTGTGCCCCCTAAAGTCACAGTGATGGCAGTGGCTTCTGTTTTTGTATGAGGCCTAACCTTGCAGAGGGAGAGGATACAGCAGCAGACTTGAAATCTGGAATGGGCGGGTGAGCCCTGAAAGGACTGAGCTGACCCAGTGAACCGGGATCTGAGCGGCAGGAGGAGCTGGGAACCTGCCTGAGTGATGCCTCAAAATTCTCAAGTGGCCCAGGAGCCGGCTGTAAGTGCATTAGGGGAGGGAAACCACTGGCTGAACATGCTGGATCCAGAGGCTTAAGCACTGAATCAAGAGACGGGTCCCTGGGATCATCTCTCCATCTGTGCACACGGGACTGCCTCTCCCAAGCAAAGACGAAAACTCCAAAACAAGCCAGCGGCCTCTTCTTGGAGCAGTGATCCTTAAAGTGCAGTCCCCAGGCTGCCGCAGCCTCCCTGGGAGCCTCTTAGAAATGTGGATTATCAGGCCTCATCTCAGACTGGCTTGGCTGGAGGCCTGGGGCCTGCCAGCAGTCTGTGCTAGGCGGCCCTGCAGACCACGTGGATGCTCAGCAGGTTTGTGGACCGCTGCTCTAGAGAGGGCAGGCGAGGTCCCTGGACAGGTCCGAGTCAGGACAACAAGCCTGAACTAAGCCCAGACCGCACCCCCACCACGTGCCCTGCAGAACACGGGCAGCAGGTGTGACCATGGAGGCCACGGTGGAAAGACCTCCCTGTGAAATCTGAGGCAGCCCAGAAGGACCTGGCACTGGCAGTTCCCTAGCTGGATGGTTCTCATCAATCGCTCCCTGGGGAAAACCACCACAGGCGGCTCCATGCTCCTACCTGGAGCATCCCTGAGCCTTTAGTGCCCTCTCCTAGTGAGGACCTGCATCTTGGGATCTCATACCCCTCATCCCCCGAGCCTTGCATCAGGACTGAAGGAAGAAGTACGTGCATCTGCAGGGGTTCAAGGTCTTAACTGGACTGCCCCTGCACCCGCTCTCAGGAATCTGGCAAAGGATGTCCTCCCAAAAGAGGAGGGAGTAAAGCAGAAAAGAACATGGCTGTGGCACACAGAGCTGACCGCAGGGGCTTCCGCTGCAGGAGCAGAGAAGGAAGCTCTTAGGCCTGGGGAGCAGCCCGCAGGGGCCAGAATGGGCCAGAGGTTCTGGGATACAGAGCAGGAGCTCCCACTGCAGAGAGTAGAGAAGGAAGCCCCCGGGTCCGGGGAGTCACCAGCAGGGGCTGGAACCAACCAGAGGTTCTGAGACAGAACCTCTGTTCTGGTGAGCCGGGTGTCATGATGTGGATTGGAGCTTTCCTCATGTGTGTGCCAGGCATGGGCTGCCATGGACGTTGATTCTGGGTCCCTGGGTCGCTGCCTCTGGCTGCAGGCAAGCTGTGTGCCACACACAGTTCTCAGATTTTAGGTTTGCTGCCCCACAAAAAAAAACTAGGAAGCACCAGTGCAGACAGCTGGCGAAGAGGCACGGCCGACAGGAGTAGTGAGCGCCTAGAAAGCTGAGCGCGTGGGAAGCAGGATGATTGTTGGCCCCGGGGAGAACAGAGATGCGTGAGAAGCGGCGGTGTCAGTGTGGCCCCGAGCAGCTTCACACAGCTGTAAGGGAGCCGAGGTCTGATCTGAACACAGCCATAAAAAGGAACAGGGAGGAGGGGAGATGCGTGTTGGGGGGAGGGAGGGAGACCTGAAGCCTCCTGGGAAGTCAGCAGGACGCCCAAGCTATCAGGTCCCGAAGGAGCCACGGAACATGTTTTCCAGATAAATGCAGTTCATACCATGATCAGCTGAGAGGGGTGCACACGGTGGTCTCTGGAGAGAACAGAAGGAAATGAGAAGTGTGGGAAACCCCTGCTCCCTAACTCATTTGCATGTAAATCTAAAGTTAAAAAGAAAACCTCAACTCACATGCTCACTGCTAGGGCGGGCTGTACTCTCCCTGTTCTCCAGATGAGGAGCAGGAACATGCCCTCAGCACCAGCAAACCCTTGACATGGACCTCACGATGCATCCTCGCTTCTGTGATCGTGGGTGGGGTGAGGAGTTGGGGGCGTGCCCACAGCATCAGCAGACCCTTGACATGGACCCCATTATGCACTCTCGCTCCTGGGACCATGGGTGGGGTGCCTGCACTGTCCTTGCATCAGCTGAGTGGCAAGTCTGAGCTGGGACAGACATGGATGCTCCTCCCCAGCCTGGCTGGCCCTGAGCATGGGTTAGGGGTGGGTCTCCTGGCTCAGGAGAGACCAGGGTAAATTGTGAGGGCTTGCTTGAGACCAGCAGACCTGTGGATAGCAGGCCTGTCACTGGACAAGGGAGAGCCGGGTGGCCTGAGACAGTGCCCAGTGTCCCACCAGCGAGCCAGTCCCAGGGGAGTTCCTTCACACCCTGATCACCCGGCATCTCGGGTCGGCAGATGTCTCTTCCTGCTCTGGGAAATCAGGGTCCCCAAGGAAGAAGGCAAGGGCGTGTGGTGGTGGGATGGTGCCAGGGGATATGGTGGTGGAAAGAGAAGAGGGGAGATGGTGGTGTGACAGGGCGAGGGGATGCGGCGGTGTGCGGGATGAGGGGATGCAGCGGTGGGACAGGGCAAGGGGTGAGAGGACATGGTGGTGGTATGGGACAAGGGGATGTGGTGAGGCTGCAGGCTCAAGAGCTTTTCGTGTTTGCTACAACTTCCCCAAGGACTGTCTTCGGTGTGGGCCCTGGACCTCCGGCCAGAGAGGACACAGAAACACATGAAGAGGCCCCTGGCCTTGGAGATCTGGGTCACTATGCTCGGAAGGTCAGGCAGGAAAACCCTTGTGATTTTCCTGTTTTCTTTGGCAAGGCAGTCACTGAACAACCCCTGCCACTGGCATGGGCCCTTGGCTGATGGGAGCCCCAAACCCCAGCCTCCCATGCTTTCTCTGGTTCCTAATTCAGCCTCCCTGCTGCTTCCAAGCTGGGCCAGGGAGATTGTTAATTGCAGCTTAATTAGGTAATGCATTAATATTAAAATAATCTAATCTTATCAGAGCAGCATGTTGAAGGTGATCAAATTTGTCACTGCTCGTGTGGGCGCAGCTGATCCTAGAGGTGTCTCTGAGCATGAGGGAGAC